TTGAATATTACAATGAAAATCTATTGATTGTATTAGGTGTGAAATCGTTAAGCCCCAGTGGTGAATAAAACGATGGCAGTCTGTGGCGTAAAATGACAAGCAAAAGTTGTAGCATTCTAGCGGCTCGTGTTCTCATCTGGTTCAGGCTCGAGGCTGAGCTGCAGTGGCCTGTCAGGTTAATCTATGATGGATGGGCACTGATGGTGGAGGGAGCACAAAGACGCCTGTGTTGGTCCCGGGGTCCAACAGGAGTCTCAGTCACTCATACGTGTCTCGCATCTTAACCCATTGTCAGCACAACTACGGACGTGTGTGCGTGTGCTTTGGTGCGTCGGGTCAGTACACTTGTGCCTTTTGCAGGGATGAATCCCTCCTCAGCAATTTTCACCTGAACACAACAATCAATCGGAGCCGAGGTGCCGGTTGGTGTTTACTTGCTGTTTACTTTGCACACAGTAAATGAATCAAACCATCCAAAAGGAGATTTAAATTTCCATTTCACCATTGAAATAAATGGGACTGTCATTACCGGTAATCATTAAGGTGTGTGTGTGTGTGTGTGTGTGTGTGTGGGGGTGTGTGTGTGTGTGTGTGTGTGTGTTTGTGTGGTGGGGGGTGGGTGGGGCTGCCAGGGATTGCCCTGTCACTGGCAACACTGTTCCACCTCTCTTCAGTGACAAGAAGCAGCACATTGCAGAACAGCTGAGCAGGAGGATGGCAGAGGGAGGAAAGGGGAAGTATTAGTCCCCATCAATCACCAAACCACGCCCCCTGACCCCCCGCCCTCCCTATTCCGACCCCCAGGTTAGCCTCCAGATCTTCGCTGACCTGCATGCCTGTCATGTGAGCACGGTCAGGAAATCTCATGCATGTAAGTGGAGAGTAAAATAACAAAACGGTGGGAGTGCTGATTAAAGGTGGATAAAACCTTAATATACTGTCGCCACTCACAAGACTGGAATAGACGAAGGCCTCGTTTGTTCAATTACTCTGACGGAAAATATCCAGAATGTTGCGGAAACACATTCTTTTGGATAGATGCAACCATGGTGAGCTTGTATCAGAATGATGGCGAGGGAAAAATAGAGAGAAGGAAAACAACAACTCATGATCCAAAGCATACCACACCATGGGCCTGATTTACTCAAGGTTTGCACGTGAAAATATAGGCGCAAACTTAACTGCTCATGCAAAAAGATGTTGAAAGTGATCTACTTACCAAAGTTGATTTTGCTTCGTTAAACATAGTGATGGCGTTTTTCTGAAAGAAGGATATTTACCCATGTTTAGCACAGGTTCAATTTGAGTAGATTTCTAGCTTTCAGCTTCAAAATGTTCTTCCTATTCCCATGTGCTTGACAGGAGTGTTTTGTAAACAGAGGATTATTTGGACAGGGTTCTTCTGTTAATGGCATTTTCGTAATTATGCGTGAAAATGTCGCCTGCTACATTAGCTTCTCGTAAGTGCCGCTTGTTAGCTAGCTGGCATTCATGTGGGTACCATATAATTGTCACTAGTTTTCAAAAGATAAAGTGCCATATTGTTGGCATACTAATGTGTGTGTGTGTGTGTGTGTGTGTGTGTGTGTGTGTGTGTGTGTGTGTAATGTTTTATATGTTGGGGTTTTTATGCTACTTTTTGCCCTCTTCAGGGTCACTGGGAAGCTGACACGTACAGTAGATCACATCGCGCAAATTTTTCCCTTTCAGGTCACAATGACCTGATGACACAGACAAAGCCGGAGCTGATTCCTGCGCGTCTCCGCTCTGGCGACCCAGTATTTGTGTTGAGTAAAGGCTCCTTACATAAGTCGTCCCATTTGACCGATGTCTAAAAGAGACGCGGATCTACTATGACTCGGTTAATCATAGGGAGAATACTCCCATTCATTCCCTTTTCGAATGAAGTGGCCCACCTGTGTTTTCGCAGGGCTCTGGAGGCCTGGAGAAAGCTTTCTAAGTCAGGGAGGAAACAGTAGTTGTGTAGCCCGGGCCATGCTGCTGCTCACTGGCGCTTTTATCGCGCAGTAATCCCGACAACAAACAGAACGGTCGGCATGTGCATGTGCAGCTGTCGCCGTCTTAGTGCAAATGGTGTCAGGTTAAGTCACAGGAATGGACGCCGGACCATCCACTGCCCTTCCCTTCTCTGGCATGCCGCTCGCTACGAGGCGTCAGCACATAGGAAGGAAACAAACCCACGTACGCACACAAACACAAACACGCAGTTGCATTCGTAACCCACTTCCCACAAACATGCTTCGCAGCTCATGCATAGCACAAAGGTTTATGCAAACAACCTGATATTCAAAGTTGGTCCAATCATCATCTCCATTAACATCACACATTCATGATATAATGACACAAATGACTTCTCTCTATTTTTTTTTTTTTATGACAAAAATACAGGACACAAAAAAAAATTCTTAAAGTTACTTTAAATTTACTTCAATTTTGTGTCACTCATATTTTGCCTGATAGCACAAAAGAGAAAAGTCGACCAATCGACAGCTCATAGTGTGCAAAATTGGGGAATTGTAGTGTATACACCAATTTAGAGTCTTCAATGACTCTAACATGCATGTTTTTGAAATGTGAATGAAAGTTAGAGTACCCGGAGAAAAGCCACGCATACATGGCGACAAGAAAAGCCAGAATGGAGACCCAGAACTTTTCGACTGTGAGGCACACGTGCTAACCACTAATTCACCATGCTGTCACCTGTTTATATCATGATTTATGAATCATAAACCACAGTACCCATAACCACACTATACAAGATCACCAAAAAATGTTCAAACTATTTTGAAAAACTCCCTCTTTTTGTGCTTTATCCTGCATTCCCTTCTATTTTTTTTTTGTCTGATTCCACTGACCTTCTCCCATGTCAGCAGGGGGGACAAATTTAGCGGCCTGGTTTCTGGAGCGACAAAATAATCTAACACAACAGAGGGAAGGTGTGTGTGTGTGTGTGCGCGTGTGTGTGTGTGTGTGTGTGTGTGCGTGTGTGTGTGTGTGTGTGTGTGTGTCTGTTTACTACCACTTCTAATATAAGAAGAACAAGAACAATAATAATGGTAGTTATAATGACCATAATAATAATCAGTAGGAAAGTGTCATTCTGCAACACTGAAGCTGCATCAGCACAAATAATTATTCGAAAACAACAACAACAATTTTTCATAAAGCTCTTATATTTGAGGTCATTAGGCCAATGATTCCCACCCACTGTGCAGCACCGAGGTGCGCCGCAGGAAGCTGTCCACTTCAATTTCATTCGTCCACAAATAGGTTATTTACGACAAAGAAGAGATCTTTGTTCAACAATCTATGCCAGCGATGCAGAGTGACTGGAAAAACCATTGGAGATTTTTCCATGAGATGGAAGAAGGGATGTGATTGACATGCGCATCCACTTTAAAGTGACATTTTTTGTTTGGTGGCGGGCTGTGGAATTTTTTTCTCATGTAAAATATATGCATTGAATCAAGAAAGGTTGGCAAAGTGTCTGGTTAGTTTATACATAAAAATATGTACATATCTCTGTTATATAGTAAAACATTTGAAAATTAGTTTTTTGTTTCCTTCATGAAACTGATATTTTCATATTTTATATTAAAATAAATGTGTATACTGCATGTATTGGTATTATCCGACTTTCAAGACCTACTGCATGTATATAAAGAGCAAGAATTAGTCAACCCAATGAAAACTTTCCCTCCTGGAAGTTTATGGAACGAGAATGTGCAAAGTTATTCTGGGATGTTGGAACGGAGGTAGTGTGGCTATGGAATCATCCAGAATCCCCCCCCCCCCACCACCCACTCAGACTCTCCCACTCCCCGGGCGGTGCCATTCTGCAAATTGCCAAGCGGTAATGGGTGCCAAGTCACTTGTGGCGCGCCATTCTTCTTGAATGCCGTGTGACATGTTTGACAGCGTGGACAAATCAGTCAGAATGACACGCAGTATGGGTGGGGGACATTGTTATGTCTGACGGCTAAGTCATGTTCATGTGGAATTGAGGTGGGGGTCGGGGGCGGGGGATGGACAGCAACACCTCCACACCCTGATAGGTGTTGTTTGGTCTTTCTTCTCGATGTACAGTAGTTGTTAAATCAGAGTACAAGGTTTTTTGGGAAAAAAAAATTGACCTTATTTGGACAGGGTGAGGGGGTTGGGTTCGTGGTTAGGGGTTATGGGTAGGGTTGAGTTAGTCGCTAACTCAACCCTACCCATAACCCCTAACCACGAAAATCACTAACCGTTAGTGCTAGGGTTGGGGGAGTTAGAGTTAGGGTTGGGTTACTGTTGGGTTAGGTTTAGGAGTTAATGTTATGTTTAGGGTAGGGATTAGGGGTTGGGTTAGGGTTAGGATGGTTAGGTTTAGTGATTGGGTTAGTGCTAGGGTTGGAGTGGCTAGAGTTAGGGTTGGGTTGGGTTACTGTTGGGTTAGGGTCAATGTTGGGTTAGGGGTTAGCATTATGTTTTGGGAGGTTATGAGGTTAGGTTTAGGGATTGGGTTAGGTGAAGTAAATGGATAAGGTTCGGTTAAGGTTAGGGTTAAGGTTGGATTAGGGTTAGTGTTAGGGGTTAGGGTTCGGGTCAGGGTTTAGTTCATTGATGTGTGACTACCCGACAAATGTGTCCAATTTAAAAACCAAACTTTGCTCTTGAGCCAGTGACGTGCAAACACCATTGGAGCCCCGCAAACATAAATGCTAATGAGGTGGAGGAGTTGCAGATCGAGTAATTTTGTTTGACATTTGACTGGTTTATTGCCCAGCACAAGACATTTGGTTGCTCATTTAAATATTTCTGTTGCCTTGTAAGACACCACAAGCCCTCAGGTGGATAACCGCCTTCCCCCTCACACCACCTCCTCGAACCCAAGTTTGCCACCACTGTAAACAAGGCTGGCCATCTCAATAATGTTATATAACAATTGTTTGTGACTATTATAGTTTCAAAGTGAACACACTTCACACAGCAAGCATTGCTAGAGGTTTGCAAATATGTTTATTTGGTCAGAGAGACAACACAGCAAGCCACTTTCATATTTGTGTATTATAAACGCAAAGCTCATGTCGCTCTCCCGTGCTTTCGTTATGATGATCTAGTGGTCATTACAACAGACATGCATCCATCTACATTTGCTTTATGTTAGTGCTAATGTACAGCTTGTCACCACCACCACCACCACGCAGGACTTATCACCCCCTACAGGCAGAGAAATAAAGCGCAGGCAAAGAGCCATCAAATAACTTCACTGAAGCCTGGTGACATCTGTACAGCTTTTGTAGAAGGCTTGACATCATCACTCAAAAAGTAATGTAAGTGTGCGGTTGTATATTACAATCTTGCAAATAATGCAAAAGCATGGAAACAAAATCTGCTAATACTAATGGAAAATGATCACATGGCAGTGAAAAGCTCGAATCAAGCCTCAACCTCCCTTTCGGCCTTTTTATTCGCGACAATTCATATACATTTAGCCTACTTGAGATGTAACTTTTGATGCTCTTTAACAGAACAAGTGCAGGCTTTTACTTCAATTTAAAACGATCATAAATAAATTAAATACATTCTCACTTTATTGGAGGGCTGGTCAAATTAGGCCCCCTTGAGAGAAAACGTTAAAATGCGTCGCATTGCTGTCACTTTATAAATATTCCTTTGCCCTCCAAAAAGTACACCAATGACTGCAGCGCAGTGCTGATATCAATTTGAGCAATTAGACATTAATTGAGCATTCCTAATTTACATACAAAGGGAGAGCTGAGGCAGATGATTGTAATAAGAGCATTGTGGTTTCATTCTTCAGCCTGGTCGTATCCCTGACCCACACAACACATTCAAAACAAAACGCATAGTTAAAAAAAAAAAAAAAAGTCATGTAGATTCTTCTTCATAGAGGCTGAAATCAATCGATAGGGAAAACCAAACATGACCACCCCCCCCAAAAAAACAACTAATTTTTCAGACAGCACCATTCAATGGATCTCATCATTTTACAACAAGGGCACAAAAAATCTGCACATCAACTCTCATAAATAAATATATCTCTCAGCTCTTATTGATCCCTTGTGAGAACGTGGCACCAAACAAAATACGGCTCCGTCCATCCTTCAGAGGCGCCAAAGTGCTAAAATGAGATGTTGCTAAACATACACAAGAGTGCATGCAAATGAGTGAGCCGCTGGGATTCTACACAACGAATATCTTTACAACTTTCTGGATAATCTGTCCACATCCCGGGCAAGGAGCCTGGAATTTGTGGAGCCTCCTGGCACACGGGAAGCAGGTGAGGAGATGGGCCGTGCGTCCGTGGATTATGTTGCCATTGCGGGGTCGAACCCGACACAGCTTGCACGGCTCCAGCAAGGCCTCCGGTTGGCATTCAACCTCAACCTCCATGCCCAGACTCTCCTGACTCTCCCCGCCCGACGCCTGCCCGTCCTTGGGGCCGGCGTGGCGTCGGGACGCGGGGGCGGGTGGCAGCGGCCGGTCGGCGGTGGAGTGGGAGGGCAGGATGACCGGGTCAGAAACGGTGCGGCTGCAGTCGGGGACGTCGATGCCCGCGTCGCTGTCGTCGTCCTCGTGGTGCGCGCTCAGGGAGCCGAACGCCGGGATGTCGGGGACGGAGAGGGAGTGGGCGAGTCGGGGCACGTCTTTGTACCAGTTCCTACGCAGGGCCCAGCAGCGGACGCAATACCGCTGCAGAGGAGAGTTGTACTTCCTGCATTCGCTGCATTGCCACGCATCCTGGCAAGGAGAGTCCAGTCCGGGGTCATCATAGTTTGGGATTTTCATTATAGCTGTCTTTATTTATTTTTCAGGTAATTTTAATTCGTTTTTCTTCGTTGATATATATTTTTTCAACAATGCTTCGTTTTGCTTTAGATTATCATTAGTTTTGGTGTTTTTTTTTAACTCATTTAATGCCAAATTTGTAAAAATATGGTGTGTTTTTCAATCAAAAATAAATAAAGGGCTTTGCAAACCTCCTCAGTCAGTATCGAGGCTGTGGGAATTATTTCAGTATGTTAAATCTCACTCACACACACACACACACACACACACACACACACACACACACACACACACACACACACACAGACACAGACACACGCACGCACACCAACACACAAAATGTTTTTTTCTTTTCAATTTTAGTTCATGAGTTTTTGTGAAGATAAAAGTCAGTCGAAATGACGCTCGAGACAAGGGGAAGAGACAAGAAAGCATTTCTACAAACCTGTGTGGAGATCTCGGTGTCTGTGTCATCACTGAGACACTGAGAATCTTCGTCTGGCTCCTCCTGCATCTGAACACAAACAATCACACCAATTTATTTGCAAAGACCACCTATTGTAAATTCCATCATTATTGACGTAGCGAGTACAGTGGTATCTGGCGACAACTTGAATTCAATCTTTTCGCACTGAAATGCCATTAATCCATACCAGTCTGCTTTAATAGATTATGAAATAACATAACCCTCCCACGGACTTAAAACAAATTTAGATTGAGTAAGACGCAGTTGCTATGTGTGTATCGAAGATGTAATTACGCATCATGTCACTGATAACCTCTCGCAACTTGGCCAGCTTGACCAAATGGCAAATTCAATGAGGATAAAAACCCCTTTAACGTCGCTTACCTCTCGATCCGTCTTCTCCTCCTTTCCCCCTCCATCCTCCTCATCGAGCGGCGCATCTCCTTCGCCGGCGCTTCTCTCTTCCAGCGCAGCCTCCTTCATCTCCACGCTCACTTGCTCACTTTCGCCCTCCGTCAAGAACCACAGGTCGTCCGTGGTGTCCGACACGATGGCCGTGTCCTCCTCCTGTGCAGGAGACAGCTGACACGTCAGTCAGACCGACGACCGTTTGTTGCTCTTCAAAAACGCAGTCGAAAACAATGACAAAAAGAAGCAAAAGTGACACGGGTGGGGCTCTCACTTGGTTGGTGTGAATATCAGTGGACCCGTTGCTCCTGCGGCTGTAGTTACTGCGGAGATTGCCCAAAAACCACCAGGGCAAGCCAGAGAGGTCCCAGTCATCAAGAGTGACATCTAATTTGGGTCGTTTGCAGGCAGAGCGTGGCAAACCTTCAAGGGAGTCTTGAATAGGTTGAAAAAAGTAAATAAATCCGTTTTCGAGCTTTGAACTGTATACAAGTATGGTCCTGAGCGCACAAACTGTTTGTTTACCGTCATCAGGCTCTCGAGGTCTTCTCTGGGAACAGGTCGGCAGGGGAGGCCTGTCACTGGCAGCCTCCAGTCCCGCTTTGACCACACCCCCAAAAATCTACAGTGGGAAGAAAAAAATATTAGACCACATAGCTGCAACTGGTTTACTTGGAGGATTCGCAGCTCCTTGTCAAGATGGCCTCTTGTTTATGGGGCCCGTGGAAACATTGAGGGTGGGGGGCACACGCACTTGTGGATGAATGAAAGAAAGCAGAATAAAAGAAAAACAGCTATTTAATTTACCTACATGCAAAGGCTATTGACCACTTACAGCCACGGATCTCTCTCTCTCTCTTTTTTTTTTTCATAATGAAGTATGAGAGCCATACGGAAATAATTTATTCATGACACAGAGACACACTAAAAGAATAAAGTTGCAATTTTATGAGGATTGTAACTTTTTTTCCAAGAGTTAAAAAAAACATTACCGTTAAGTCACATTTTTGAGGGGAAGTGAAACGATATTTGAGAAGTTACACAAAGATGAGCCATTGAAACAATCTCATCAGGTTGTAGCTTTCCCAAAGTATGAAACAGTGTTTTCAAATTATTATCACTATCGGGACTTGGAAGCGGTTGGGTAAACATTTGTCTCTGCTCTGGCCACTTCAGATGGAGGCTTGACATGTGTTTGGACGCCCCCCTCCCCATTAAATTTAGACTTTAATCTTCAAATCATATGCTCTTTTACCCCCCCCCCCCCAAATTACAGTGTATAAATCTAATATGACTTTTATCCCTTGACGTGACTTTAGTTTAGTTTTAGGCAGAGTAGTGCCTAACCACAAGCGAGAGTACATATTCATAAACTTGACTTCATAGGAATCACATATGTAAATGTTACCGGTAACTCGACAATTTTCAAACGTGAATGACATACATATACACTTAAATACGCATGGCAGGGACAGCATTAGGTTCTAATCTGCAAGCAATAAAACAGCCATTATTCTGTGATCAACCATCATGCCTGGTTAAAAACAAACATTCCAAAGGAGTCGAAAAGGTAAGGATAGGCTGATAATGTTAGCTTGACAGTTTCCAAAGAGGAAATGAGAGAGAGAAAAAAATGCATGAATAGAGGGACAAGAGAAAGGGGGGGGGTGTTCTAATTTGGCCAATTTCTGATTGAGAGCTGCGACCCTCCATTGTGAAGCAGAGAAGAGAACTCTGAGACAGACAGAGACAGTGACTCTGTCCCCCCATCCAGAGTGGAGCCGGTGGGGCGCACCACAGAGGCGGGCCCTTCCACCAAACCAGACCGAGGATGGGGCTGTACAGAGACGGTGCCACTCTGTACAAAAAAAGGACACCAACGAAGATAGCAGCCCCTACCGCCTCATCTCACTACACACCATCTGACAGGGAAATTAGAATATTCTCTTCGCCACCTAAATTCATGCCTGTGGTGAATTTTGAGAGGTAACACTCCCTTTTTATTTGGTTTTAATTTGGGTGATACTTTATACTTATTGTCATTGTCGTGGCAGAAACCTCATCTGCCCAATATGGTCGATTGGATATTTTTTCACAAATTTAAACTTAAGGCCAAAGATGAGGCCATGCAATTTGTCTACATTTTCAGTCGACATCAGGTGGCAGTACAGAACAAAATGGCAGCGTCCCAAATTGGACAAAAAAACACATCGCAAAGAATTTATTTTTAATATATTATTATTAATGTATTTACTTTACTTGACTGCTTTAATTAAATTAGCAACTTTTTTTGCAAATTAGCATGATTATGGGGGAGGTGATGGGTTAATGTCGATGTATGACATCATGACAACTTGTTTGGCAACTCAAACAAGATGCCTCCCTCCCCCCTCCCAAACAGTCATGGTTTTGAAAATGAGGATTCTGCCCAAGGTCCTTCTTGATGCATTATCATTCGTAGCCCACGAGGCAAAAACTATCCAAAGCAGTCCTAGCAAACATGCTGCACACTTTAACATTTGGGTTTAAAAACGTGTTTAAAATGAAGACTCTACTCAAATGGAGTGAAAGTAAAGTCAAAATAAAAAGGAAGCTGCTATTTGCTTTGGTTATGAATAGTTAACTCGTCTATCAACTGTCAGTTTTCCAAGCAGAGCTGGTCGAGCTGAACGGCAATATCTGCGACTGATACAGCAACTCAGAGTTCAAATATATTCCCAGGAACTTTTCCTAGTCAGAGGTTATGAATTACAAACTTTATTGCAATGCAGCAAAAAAAAAAAAAGCCTCAATCACTCTTGTCAGTATAACAAATTTGTACCCAGGTTGCTAGTTGTGTGTAGTGAGGGGAGAAAGGTTTGGGGCTCCGTTTCTTCGAAGCACCATGTTTCAGTTTTACCTGACCACGATCTTCCACTCCGCCCTCAACACACTCACGGCCCACAGAAAGATTCTCTGCAGCGTCTGCATTTCAGATAAGACACAGTAACAGAAACAAGAACACCACACTCTCTCACTCAGGCCTTCGTTTTGTTGATGTGTAACAACGGCTTGAAATGTTGTTTATTCTTCTGCCCTGACCCTCACAAGACACACATCCATCACAAACACACTCTTAAGACTATGTGGGAATATGGCTGTAAAATAACCATAATAGTCCACAGGATCTAAACTTTGCATCATTTGAAATATTGAGTTAAAATTCAGAGCAAAAGGAAAAAGACATCATCAATAAGACAATCAGAGATCAGTATTTGACATTTCTGCGTCGCTTACCAGCACTATCGAGTATGACGACATATTTCTTGAGCATTTCATACACCGGGCTGTTAAAAAAACAAACAAAAAAAAAAAAAAACAAAAAAAAAAAAAAACAAAAAAAAAAAAAAACAAAAAAAAAAAAAAACAAAAAAAAAAAAAACAGAAAAGCCACAATAATTAGGTCAAAATACATATTTACAAATGGCTATGTTTTGAACAATATGTTGGTGTGCACCTTGGGTTCTTCACAGAGAAGCTCTCCACTTCCAGCAGCTCTCCCAATGGGTCATCCTGGCAATGGACAATGTGCTGCCTTTGTTTATCGTAGAGCTGCTTTCCCAAAATGTACTGGCCCAAGTAGTGCATTACCTACACAAACACCAAAACATTACACAACCACACATGCAGGTACAGTGGAAACTCACTTCTCAGATGCTGTAACACTCAAAAAAAGTCAAGTTTTACCAAAACGTGTTGCGAAAATAACGGCTTTCAGTGTCATCCAACTGATATTTCGATGTATAACTACTATATGTATCACCACGGAGTGTGTTCGAGTTTGGAGGTGCCCCTTCTTGGTCACCTTGTATGAGTAAATTGTATTTAATAGTTGGGATTTGAGCTACCCCCACCACTTTAACATGTTGAACATTTCACTTGACAGCTAACCTCTTTAAGTGTGAAGACGTCCTCCTGGGCTCCAGCAATGCGCAGTATTTGCAAGAGGGGAGCTTTGGGTTGAACCTGGAATTATATTTATATATAATTATGTATGTGTAAAAAGTAAACAGGGATTTTACAAAAAAAAAATGATGTTGTAGATCCAATGTACCTGATTTCCTTCTCCAGGCAGTGCCCTGCATGGTGTGCCAGAGGCGGAAGCCTGGGCCGATAGGGAGCTCATAGTCAACTCTGAATCACTGAACAATTGAAAATTGGGTAGGCGTTAGCACGTTGATTTACGTCATGCACAGGAGGTCAACTCACTCACAAAAATGTACAGTCTCTTATTACAAACGCAAATGAACAGACTCTGGAAATTATTACAACACAGGCGTTGATATTATTACTTAACACAACTCTACTGTATATGAGAACCATTAGTTACATGCAGCTCATCAAGACGAGACTTGATTTCTTGTCATATTCCCGCTGTTGATGTCCAGTATAAACGAAATACACAAATGCCACGTAATTACACTATTTGAGAGACACTGGGCGCAAAGAAAAAAAACATGGGTTAAGATATCTCAGTTTCATTTTTAGCTTTTCTAAATTACAAAGAGACTTTGTTGACGATCGCCCCTTTTCCTCAGAGAACAAATACAAGACATAATGAAAAAGCGGCTGCATATTAAAAGCCAATAACATTAACAATGGCAGTTGCAGACATGCAGCGGTAACGTTAAACAAGTGCACCCGATTTTTCGTGCGACATATGAAAAAAAATACTCAGCAAATCACAAAATGCAAGTTAAAAACCATAGCTAGCTATTGTTGCGAAGCTAGAGCAGCGTCATTTTTGACTGGTTAACAATCTGCCAAACGTTACTAGTTTGCGTGTCATTAATGTAGCTAACATTTAGCCTTCTGTCTCCTTTCCTGAATAAATACGTATGTTCAAAAATGATCTCACCCGAATTAACTGGCATCACTTTAACGCCGTTACTTTGCTCCATAGGTGTTGTTGATTTTCGACGCAAATTGACATTTTGGGGTTAAAATGGCCCGAATTCTGTGTTTTAGACGCTAGCTAGGTGGAAGCTAATCAGTTAGCCTAACTGCATTTCAAAGGGAACGAGATTTCGACAAGAACTGTTGCGGTGAGGCAGTAGCGCCGCCTGGTGTTCAGGAGACACAATTTTGGTCCGTTCTCAAACAGCGTTCTGTAGCGGCACGCTTGGGCTGTTATGCGGCTCGCAAATGGAATAACTTCCAACAAGTCAATCCTGTCACAAATGTAAATGCTACCAAATTAAAAACTACACTATGGAGCCCCATATCTTGGAGTAAGGTCTTGGTAAGCTTTTTTAAATTGTCCAAAATGTTCTTGCAATGTACGTTATTTTAGTAATCTGCTTTTCATTTCTTTACTTTGCTTTTAAATGGATTTAATTCGTTGTTTGGAAATGCTTTTAAATGTTACCCTTTTAAATATGTGAAGCACATTTGAGTTGGACCCCGCCCGGAATCAGATGGCTCCAGAACGCCCGCGAGGCTCGTGAGGATAAAGCAGTTTCAGATAAAACATTTGAGTTACCTTGCATATGAAATGTGCAATAAAGTGTGCCACGAGAGATCATAGCGTGTGGTTATGTGTCCGAAAATTATTTGTCAATTTCTAACATGTACATACATACATACAGGACTGCTCCATTAGATGACAGAAAGGTTTGTTAATAATTAACTGTTTTCACTGTCTTTGTCATTATATGACTGATTCTTACTCCATATACAACACCTTGTATGGAGCAATGGCTGTTCTAAAGCGCATTAAAATAAATAAAGTTGGAGTTGTGACCAAACAAAATCAGAGTACAAAATGTATTTTAAAGAGACATTTAATTCATCAAGAATATAATTCAAAAAAAGACATACAAATGTTAACCAATCTGTACTATGAGAAATGTTTCATTCAAATATGCTTCCTCACTGGTCTTATCACAGCAATGTCAAGAAAACATGACAGTCTCAATTCAAATAGACTAATAGGAGCATGGTACCATGTATTATGTATGTGACAAGAATGCGTTTTTTTTTCACAGATGTGTAGATACAGTACAAAAATATTAATCATGAACTCCAGTAAATACCTATCGAGTATATGGAGACATCAAGCATGTGTAGTTGCTCTCATACCTGACAAACAGTCCTTGAGAATATGCCTGTCTACGAGGCCAAATTCTACTGCATATAGCTTATCTGCTGGAATATTAATCACCTCTACGAGAAGAGACAAGCCTTGCCTGTATGTTAAATTTCAGCGCTTATGATGAGAAGATGTACATATTATATAAAAATATATGCATATACAGGATGAAGTGTACCAGTATGTATAACAACAAAACAGTTGAGCCTTGCTTATCTTTTTTGTACCTGCATCCACTTTAATATCATGAAACACGTTAACTGATGAGGGGAAATATAAAACACACAACCATATCTATCGATAGATATACACAGTAGAACAATAAATCGGTATGTTTTCTTTAAAAATAATTTTCAAGTAACGTTTTTGAGTTAGTATTGCCTTCATGTTAATTGCTAGGCTATGGTGGATTCATCTCTACAATTAGAAAACATAACCATAAAAGTGCTTTGGCAATTAATTCAAGTCTTATGTTTTCACTGCACAAAAATGGGGAGCAAAAATATCTAACATTGTGATGCTTTGCGTTCCCAAGCCTCAAAGAACACTTGATTTGAACATTCATTCCAAACTTCATACTGGACTGGCACACGAGCATATTTTTCTTCTTCCTATTTCTGGTTTGTATTTAATTGAATTGCATGGTTTTCATGTGTGTCGGAGAATAAGAGTAAACTAAACAAAATATTTGTGAAGCATAATACTGGACTAACTGGACAGGACTATTTTGCTGACATTTAGGGTGCGTCATTGGAAGAATCTATATGTTGTAGTTTTAGCTTCATACAATACAAGCAAACAGTGTGCGCTAAAAGAGTGACATCTAAAGTGCATCCCCCAACGTGATTATTTCAAAAGCTCAACTGTCTTCAGTCAAAAGTGAAAAATCATGACACACTGGGAGAGGACATTTAAATGCTACTGCTCACAGATGTTATTCAAATCAAAAGTGCTTGTCTTGGGAGGGGGGGGAAGTAAAAAAAAAAATACAACACACACACACACACACACACAAAAAAAATTTAAACAGCTTAGCTGTCAAAGAAAAAAAAAAAAATACCACAGCCCGCTTGAGGTGAAACTGCACATCGAAACGTCGACTGTACATGACTACGGTATATTAATGCACAAGTTTTAAATGTACGGAATACAAAAATATTTTGAAGATGGAAAAAGTAATTATATTTAGGATTTTTTTTCTCAGTAGCTGTATTCTATTACTTGATTGTTCCATAACACTGGAAGCTAAAACATCTCAAATTCCTCTGAGTGCATTGTCAAATGCCAAACGCTGTCTCTTAGAGCACAATTTGACACTCCGACATCCTGACAGAAACAATTCAAGCCCTGCTGGAACTTCAGAGCCTTTCTTTTGTTTTGTGCCGACTACCCCCCCCCCACCCCCCACCCCTCCACATTCGATTGGTTTGTCGCTGTGGTCTTGTCTGTGTGAGAACCTCAACCATGTGATCATTCAACCCGCTGCTGTTGCATCTTCCGGTCACCAGGGGGTAGCGAAAATTGAGAAGCAGATTTTAATCAGCATGCGGGACAAGCAGGCATCAGTGAGGAGTGGAGGGGGTCAAAATGTCCAATTTATTCCAAGAGGTCCTGAGAGGAAAAACAAACAAACTCCAGAAAATACTTTAAATTACAAAAACGGGACATTTCACAGTGTCTTGAGATACCTGATCTGAATCCTCATTGCACTGTGCTGCATGTGTTCCTGTTTCCATGTACTGGGCATCAACGTCATCAACCCCTTCTATTTTGTTAGCTTCGGCGTGTTCTCTCATGACAGAGTAGCGGTGCACAAGGAACCTGACAAAGACATCACCACATATTAAGAGATGCGGGAAAATAACGTGTAATGGCCTACAGCAGAAACGTAGCTGACTGACCGTCCACCGCAGACGTATTTCTTGACCACCCACACGCCCACGACAGCGCTCATCAGAAGCATGGCTATGACAACCACGGCAATGATCGCAGCATTCGACGCGTTGCTTTCCGTCTGACAGAAAGGCAGGAACAGAATATGAAGACTGAATTTTTCATATCACGTTGCCTAAAACTTGAATTGAATTAAAATATACTGTAGTTCCTAAAATAGCCACCGGGGGCGTTTACTGTATTTACTCATCTGTAGTATACTGAGATATAGATTTTATTCGAGGTATGGTATTCATTTGGTTGACAGCAGCAAGTATCAGGCATTCACTAAAGATACAACTTTTATTTGAGGGGATGTATAAAAAAAAAACAATTTCTAACTCAAAAGGCCACCACGATGTTCATTCGGGAATAATTAATTGACAAATGCGGTCTTTTAGAGCAAAGGCTAGAACTGGAGGAAACACGGATTGTAACTGTGTCACAAGATAAAATGCATGATGATGTGCGCGCTGCAGATAGAACATTACAGTATTTCATTTTAATTAAAATGAGTGGCACCAACCAGAGAAAATGGATGAAGAGCATCACTGGTGCACCTCCTCCTCAGGTCAGTCTCCTTTCTTACAGGCTGGAAACCACCAGTGCACAGGTCTCCTGGAATCTTCCGGTAACTTAAACGGAAGACAATAATACAACATTAAATGTAAAAACACAACTGAGCCTGATGGATATTTTATGTGAAAATCTGCTACTATTTTTATTGTGGAGAAAACTAATGTTTTGCAACTAGGATTGTAAATTGAATTAAGAAATCCTTTATTAGTCTCGCAATGGAGAAATTCCCAATTCACAGCAGCAAAGTTATGAAAGGAAGAAGTAGAAGAACAAAATATAGGAACTAGGAATTACGCTACTGACTTTTTGGTGTTTAAAAAAAACAGCAGCAAGAGATACTCACCCACTGGTCTGTAGCTCTTCAGTGGTTCCATTGAGACAAAACTCCAGAGGATGACCCTTCATCTCCTCCTGCTCCACACACTCCGAACTGTTCTCAGGTCGGAAGTATCCAAAGTCACTATGGGACAAAGCAGAGTCAAATGTGTTTCAAAGCAGTGATTCCCCATATAAAGTGTGCCAAAAAAGACATCATGATTTCCATTATCGACAAAAGAACACAAAAGTGACGGAGTAACTCTACCAGCGTCACCATGGACTGGTAAGATAAGAGGACTATACTCTGGAATTTACAATACATTTTTTGGAGTGACAACGGGCACCCAAAGTTGGGCTAAAAAGAAAACAAAAATAACTTTGTCCATAGGTGGCGACATGCAGTACCATTGATAATCATCCAGTGTACAAGTGCAAGGAGACAGACGTTGCCTGCCACTGAACCGCCTCCCGTTCCAGCAGGCAGAGTCTTTCCTCAAGCGTTGGAAGGTCTCCTTGTAGCCTAACACACAGCCGTCAGTGGAGCGGTCGGGGTCGGCGGAGTGCGCCAACCACGGCACGTAGTCCGCGTCGTTACCTGCACGTACACTCGCAGCGTATAAACAGTCTTGCCCAAAATGCAACGACCTTCTTGCTCAATCTTCTCACGTAATCACTCACAATCTCGGCTGAGGAGATTCCTGAAGTCAATGGTGATCACCACCCATTTGGTAAAGTCATTTCTGTAGCCCCACAGGCTGACGTTCAAGGAGCGGGAGCCCGGTTCGCTGTCCATTCCGCTGAAGTGGAAGCGGTCACTGGTAAAGTTATATGTGCGCCAGCACCGTCCTTCATCAGTGGAAAACCTGGATTGAAGGGGACAACAGACCTCGAGTGAGGAGTCCTGCAGATGAATGCCAATTGCTGCGCCGCATCTCTCCTCACTTGATTTGATTGACGGGGAAGTTGGTGTGCTCCACCGCCACGAGAAGAGCCCCGGAGTCCAGTATAGCGTAGTGATGAGGACCAGTAAGGGACAGCGACCACGAGTAGCCGCCGTCGTCAGATACGTAAACGTCAGGCGTGACAGCCGACTCGCCATCCCCCACGCTGCCTGAAGAGAGG